CATGAAAAATGGTAGAAATCACACCTAGTCTTAAATGCGGAAACCTTGAAGTTCCCTCCGTCCTTTGTTTTCAAGGTGTCCGACCAGGTATGACTAGAGGTGTGGTGAAGTTGTAAGACCTCATAGCATCCTAGGGACGGACTATTAGATTTTTGCAGCGTGGGGGGGGGGGGTGTTGGGGTGTTGGGCAATAACCTTCGAAAAAATCGAGCACAGGCTTAATGGAAGAAAACACATCGTGCAATTGGCAGAAGACCTCCCCCCCCGCATCAAAAATCTAATGGTCCGTCTCTAAGGTACCTTTTAAATTATTCCAAAATGGATTTCGTTCCGGAACGAAATGAATTTCATACCGCGTTTACATGAAAGATAATTTAGCTTCTAAAAACAAGTATTTACGTCCTTTATCTATGCTTCCCTCGCTCCTAAAGAGGACTCATACAGATATGAGTACCGCGTTTGCTTTGTACAGGTACAAAAGGTCGTCCAAAATAAGTGTTTCGTTCTGGAATGAAAACCTCAATAAACTCATTCAGAAATGACTCGTTTCGAATAATTTTACCCTGGTATCATGTGGCAACCGGGATGAACTCGTTCTTGAACAAAACTCATTCCGATATCATGTAAAAGGCCCCTAAGAGTTTTTATTTGCATATTTAAGCAGTCGAACGAAAAAAATCATTTCTCAAAAACTAAAATATATTTTCAGAAAAAAACAACATCACAATTACTAAGACATATTGGGCGACAAAATATGAAAGTAGGAGAGAAAATGAATTTGGGCGACTTGCCGCTGTTTGTCTGGTACATGTTGACATTAGCTCTTAAATTGAATGATGCAATCATGGTTTTCAAGTTCATTAATAATCTTGCTCCAGACTACCTTGCAAATAAGTTTAAGCTACGTTCTTGTGTTCATGACTGGCAAACTCGATCAGCTAGTACCCTGGATAAACCCTTTTGCTGTCTGTCAACTGGTCAGAGATCTTTTGCTTATAGAGGAGCGAAACTGTGTAACTCATTAAGCAGCAATCTTTAGTGTTTAAAATGTCCCAAGAAATTTACGTTTCAATTTACTTAGCTGTGTTACGAGTGATCGTTAAGTGAAAATGATTGTCTGTAGCTAAACAGAACGCAGGGATGTCGGAACAGCAACAAAGATGATTTATTCCAAATCGTCACAGTAAATACTGATATACGTTCTCTGCCAAACTTCAAATAATCACAACCGCCGTTGAACTCAACCTCAGTCACACTTTTGAGTAACCTCTACCTCTGTCACACTACTTAGCTTGTGAAAAACAAATAATACTTAACAGCATGAGATTCTGGAACTTTCCGGCCAACCTAATTATAGTAGCATTCCAACGTTTTACTATTTACAGCATTTTACACGGACTTGAAAAACTACCGATGCGCAGTGATGCGAAACTGATTAAATGTTCAAGAAACTTCTAGGCTTAAATAAGCATACTCACGAAACTTCTGAACAGTCACGCAACAATTTTACGTAGCAAGCTGCTATTAGGTTAATTTCATCATTCAATATTTTTATTCCTTTGATATATAAATATATTTAGCTGTAACTATAGTTCTATAGTCTTCAATTTTAGTTTTATTTCTTTTAACCTTATCTTGTTGCTGAAAAAATCATTCAGGGAGCTTCAATAAAGGTCTGTATCTGAATCTGTAATTTCAGTCTTCTATTTTGCGCAGACATCTAAAGGGTGGATTGCGCAGGAATATTGCTAATGAGTACAAGTGCACCTGTTCCGATGGATACACCGGCAGCCATTGTGAACAAGGGGGGTGGACGACTTTTTTAGACTGAAGCACATAAGATGTTTATTTTGTTTTTATCCATCCTCATGAAATGAAATAGCACGCACTTTTGCAGTAATACCACAATGCTCTCTGATATGCAGATGTTGTTGGTACTTTGCTGATAGGTCTAATCTTTTCAGTGTGTTTGTTCTCAGCACGAACTGCCGTGCCATGTTTCAACTTCTTGACAGCCTACATACTGTGAATGAAAATAACAACATTGTTTGTATAAGCTATCTAAAATTAGTTCATCTTCCGGCCTGGGTAGACTTTAAATTTTTCCTACTCAATGCTTGTGACTCTGAATTTTTAGCGTTTGTGTACTTACCTTGAATCCGAAGGTATCACACAAACGAAGGCGACTTCACTGAAACCTAACCTAACTTCTTTGACATTGCAATCCGTGGGATGCTAAGCTTACAGAATAAAAGATTTAAAGGTGAATCCTGATAGTCGGCTATTATGCAAGTATATGTATAGCGATATGAGAGAAAAGAGTTTTCATTTGCGGCAACCCAATAAGATGCCAAGAGTTTAGAAAGATCAGCTGCCTATTTATGCAGAATATGGCTGGAAGTCGAATCGCATTTATCCTCAGCTCAAGTGTAACTGGCTATGTGTAGTTTACTACAAAGTGTGTTTTATTCTGAGAATAAGTGTTGGTTACGAAGAGAGTTTTTCTTTTAAGAAAATAAGCGCTGAATAAATTATAAAGACACTTCTGGTTATCCATTAGTATTTGAAAAACGGCATTGAAGCTTCTATAGTTCACAATAACATTTTAATAATAACAATCGATAATCTGAATCTGAAATTTTAACTAAGTATCAATTATTAACTTCACAGCGGCAATGAGGCTTTTAGAGTTGACAAGAAAATTTAAATCACAACAACTGATGAACTAGATTTGAATTTTAACGGAAGTCATAATTCACCATTTTTTTGTTTTTATTTTTCTTTCCTTGAATAAGTTGATATATTTGAGTGTTTATTCAGACAGAAATAACTGACGAAATTAACACTTCGCACGGACAAATATGTCTAACATATAATGAACGATTACAATATTAATTATGCTAGAAATAAGAGAGATGGTAAGTTTTGAGCTCGGTAAAGATATAGAGAAAGATGTTTTTTCGTCATGTCGCGAGCGTGGGACAAAGAAAAAAAAGAAAAAATTCTGAGTTCCCATAAGGAGTCAAACCTCAGACCTTCGTATTAGGCGCTCCGGTGCTCGAAAATTTACCATCTCTCTTATTTATATCAACAAACATTACGCTTTAAACATTGCTGACCTCAGCAGTATACAGGACACGTGTCATATGAATGTCGTAATTCACCGTGGAGTCTCTGTTGTTCAGTGGCTAGAGCATCGGAGCGTGGAATCCAAAGGTCTGAGGTTCGATTCCTCATTGGTACTCAGAATTTTTTCTGTGTCCCACGCTCGTGACAAGAAGAAAAAACACCTTTCGCTATTAATTATTCTGTTATTCAGCTCTCAGAGCATCCTTTCCACTTGACTATAGTTGGAAAATTTTTTATAAACGTCTCTAAACTCTTTTTATATTAATTGAGATATTTTCGAATCTTTTACAAAACTGCGTGTACGCACCGAAGGCAAAGTCTCGACCGAAATAATAATGATAATGATAATAATAATTTATTACTTATATAGCGCAAAATACATGTGGATACGATCTAAAGCGCTATTTATCTAGTGCGCCAAGAAAAAATAAAAACAAATGAATTTTTTCTGTGACTTAAGGCTTCACGGTCAAAATATTTCACCTGGCAAGCATGATATCCTGTGGTTTGCCAGAGACCCTCGATGCGTTTCAGTCTATTACTCTTATTTATGAGAATATGTGTTGGTTACGAAAAGAGTTTTTTTTTAAGACAATAAGTGCCGATTAAATTATTAAGAAACTGCCGGATACCAATTACCATTTCAACAACGGCATGATGCTTCTATAGTTCACAAAAACATTTGAATGATAACAATGGATAAAGTGGATCTGATATTTTAACTAAGTATCAATTATTAGCTTCACAAAGACAATGATGCTTCTTGAGTTGACCAGAAAATTTAAATGACAACAACTGATAAACTAGATTTGTATTTTAAGGGAAGACGAAATTCACATTTTTTTTTGTTTTTGGTTTTATTTTTCATTCCTTGAATAAGATGTTATATTTCAGTGTCTATTCAGACAGAAATGGCTGACGTAATTAACACTTCGCACGGACAAACATGTCTCTTTAACATATAATGAACGATTACAATATTAATCATTCTTTTATTCAGCTCTCAGAGCATCCTTTCCACTTGACTATAATTGGAAAAAAAAATTTATAAACGTCTCTGAACTCTTTTCATATTAATTGAAATATTTTCGAAGCTTTTACAAAACTGCGTGTACACACCTAAGGCAAAGTCTCGACCGAAATAATAATAACAATTTATTACTTATTATTAGCGCAAAATACATGTGGATATGATCTAAAGCGCTATTTATCTAATGCGCTAAGAAAAAAAAAAAACAAAACAAATGAATTTTTTTTGTGACTTAAAGCTTCACGCTCAAAATATTTCATCTTGCAAGCCTGATATCCTGTGGTTTGCCAGAGAGACCCTCGATGCGTTTCAGTCTATTACTCTTATTTATGAGAATATGTGTTGGTTACGAAGAGAGTATTTTTTTAGACAATAAGCGACGATGCTTCTATAGTTCACAAAAACATTTGAATGATGACAATTGATAAAGTGGATCTGATGTTTTAACTAAGTATCAATTATTAACTTCACAAAGATAATGAGGCTTCTGGAGTTGACCAGAAAATTTAAATGACAACAACTGATATACTAGATTTGTATTTTAAAGGGAATGCAAAATTCACATTTTTTGTTTGTTTTTGGTTTTATTTTTCTTTCCTTGAATAAGATGATATATTTCAGTGTTTAAAATATGTCTCTTTAATATATAATGAACGATTACAATATTAATCATTCTTTTATTCAGCTGTCAGAGTATCCTTTCCACTTGACTACGATTGGAAAGAAAAATATTAAATAAACGTCTCTGAACTCCTTTTAAATTAATTGAAATATTTTCGAAGCTTTTACAAAGCTGCGTGTACACACCGAAGGCAAAGTCTCGACCGGGAAAAAAAACCAAATGAATTTTTTTCTGTGTGGTGTTCTAGTTGGGTTATTAATATCTGAAGTCGAAGTATCTCAGGCTATTCTTTGTAAGGAAGCGTCTCTTTCTTGTCCTGTCATAACTCGCAATCATCGCCGACTTAAAGGCTTCACGTTCAAAACATTTCACCTTGCAAGCCTGATATCCTGTGGTTTGCTATGTCAGAGAGACCCTCGATGCGTTTCAACAAATTTCAGAAAAGTTTTCAAAAGTGAGGGAACCTGTGAGTTGAACGACAGAGGAGTTCTCCTTACTGAGAAAGGAAACGAATTGGAATACAACGAAGAAGCAATTTACACTCAATTTTACGACACGAAGGTAACAAAAAAATGATCCAAAAAAGACCAAGAAGAAGGTGTTATTGACTCCTCGAGACACTTGTCTTTTATTCGTGGTGTCTTTCTCATAAAATCGTCATATTTCGACGACAGATGTGAAAACTTTCCATCTGTCATATTTTTCTTTGAATGTTTTTATCGTTTGGTCCTAAAGTAGTTTGACGTGTATGTGGGTAAAATGGTGGTTTTTTATCTTTTTTTTTTTAAAGGCGAATGGACCACATTTCACTGAGTGCTGGTCATCAAAATGTTGTACTGTCGTTTAAAGTAAAATGAGAAATTTTGGGAATTTAAATCTCGATATCATTGGATTCAATATATGCAAACTGCTCCGAAGCTCAATAAAGTTAAATATATTTTAAGTTGAAAGTTCTTAAATAAATTCAGGTGGACCGAGAGTAGGTCATACGGATTTAGTACACAGAATTCAGTATAAAATTTTAGCTTGAAGCTAAAACTTTCAAGATCTTTCTAAAGGCCTTCAATTAGCTCACTAGTGCAGTCTCCATACGGTGATAAACCCAGAAGACTAATTGATTTCCCGATGAAATAAAAAATGAATGATTTTTTGTTTTCAGCACCACGGTCAGGCCTTCAAGGAAGATTTAAAAGTCGTCAACTGCAAATGTAAGTAGCGTTGATTTGAAAGGTATTCTTGAGATTAAAGTCAACGACTTCGTGTTTAAATAACAATGAGTTACTTGTCCCGGCTGCTTCTAGTCTCTCCGCCAATAGGTGCGGAGTCTGTCGTCTTCGCGAACCTTCGCGGACCCTTACAAACATTCTCCGAACCTGCTTGAAACATTTAGATTCTTACAGTTTCCTTGAAAGTCCTCGAATGTTGGCAAAAAAATTGCTAAGGAAAATGTTGCCTAGTTTACTTCTAAATTAATGTGGAAATCAAGCCTTTAATTCCCATGAGTGACCAAGACAGAATTTCTCCTTACAATAACCATACAATATCAATCAGACAGGTGATGAGAATAATGAAAAAGATAAGTTTGAGAATTTTCTAATTGATCCAGTACAAATTCTCAGAACTAGCATCATAAGAGTTGTATAGAAGTCAGTAAGGAGAATTAATAATGAGATCTTGGGCACTGAAGGGTTAAGGAAACAAGAACCTGCTGAAGAAGCCGAGGACACTCACTGCGTTATTCACAACTTCAAATGCTGATGTGCCTACAAAATGCATCGCGAAAACATGATAGCGTTGAGTCATCAATATGGGAAGCAATTTAAACATATCCAGGAATTAGACATTATAGACTCCAGTGATTCAAAAACCTCTGGATACTCCAAAGGTGCCGCAGTAAATTTTAACCGTTTTGGCTACGAATTTTCATTTGCAGTAGAGCTTCGACCATCACTTGTAAGTCGGAGAGATTTAACTCACGCGAAAGTTTTTATCTTTATCAAACTTTTTTTTATTATAATGCTTGAGATAAAGTAGAAAGGTGAAAGTACACTTACTTTTACATTTCTATTCAACCGTTTTTAAAATCATCCTTTACTCCGTGGTAAACAAATCAATGTCTGTGCGATTGCATTTGTCTGTCTCAATTTCAGGTGCGGAATCACCAAAAGCCCCAGTTCCCCTCGGCATGGAAAGCGGTGCTATTTTTGACTCACAGATCACCGCTTCCTCCGTGAAAAATGATTACTTTGCCGCACCGAATGCTAGATTACATTTCAAAGGATCCAAAAACCCGCTTAAACGTGCTGGCTGGGTACCTAAAGTGATAAACACCAGCCAATGGCTGCAAGTGGATCTTAAGCAAACCACAAGGGTAATAGGCATAGCGACGCAAGGGAGACATGATTACCTTCAGTGGGTTACTAAATACAAGCTACAATATGGCGATGATGGACTATTTTTCAGAGTTTACAAGCGAAACGGAGACGTATCAGACACGGTATGAAAAAGTATGCTTAATTGAAAAAACCTTTTTGCGGAGAAAAAGTCACCGTGAGGAATAGAACCTTTTTGTATTCTGCATTCTGATTCTCTTCCACTGAGCCACAAAGCAGTTACACTAGGCTGGGCCATATACTCTCTGTCATTGAACCAACAGAAGAGCATTCACGAAAGTTATAGGTTGAGAGTAACTCGTACTGTAAAAAAAAAAACTTACGCTCGTTAATTTTACGCCCAAATATATTCTACTCAGGTTTTCCCAGGAAACGAGGACAAAGCCACAGTAGTTTACCACGATCTTAACCCGCTCATTTATGTTCGCTATGTTCGAGTTATTCCGATGGAATGGAAAGGGATGATCGCCATGAGGATTGAGCTTTATTCTTGATAAGGTAACCTACTGGTCCAAGTGTGTAGCAATGGCCGAGATTTTTGTGAAAAAACGTATTCTGGGAGACGGAAGGTGTGCGTTGGGTAAGGGTAAGCTGTAATGGACTGACATTACATTTAACCCTTTAGCTCCCAAGATCTTCATCCTAATTCTCCCGTCTAGCTGCTGCACATTCCTTGCAAATCAGGTACAAGAATTTGGTGTTGGATCAGGATAACAACTTTTACCTGATAAGTTTAAATATTCTCATCACCTGTTTGCAAGATATATGTATGGATATTTTAGGGAAAAGTTTCATGTTAATCACTTATGGGAGTTAAAGAGTTAAGAGCGCTAGCAGTGCTCAGAAACCAAAGCGAGCCCCGGTTTAAGGCCAGTTGTCCTTTGAGTTTTACACATGTTTGTCATCGATAGAGGTCACGCACTTCACACTTGAACATCCCTAACACCTATATCTTTTTTACTAAAATACATTATTCGTTTTTGATAGAGAACCAAATTGTCTTGTTTAAAACTTGTTTAAAAGTAAAAGAGTCACAACTGAAGGGAAGAATTCACCTTTTCGGCGTCAGATTGCACTTGTAGTGTCACGTGACCTCTGATGTAAACAAACCGCGAAAGTTTAGACTTTGAGTCAACCATCCACGGCTCGAGTCCGAACTTCGGCTTCGGCATTTTGTCGTGAATAGTTTCCCTCTGTTGCGCCATGGAATAATAGAAAAAACTTTCTATGTACTATGATGTATCTTCTCAGGTATTTTCATGGCGTTAAGCGCGTTGATTGTTAAATGAAACCACGTCTGATAGGAAATTAGTGCCCACGAATCGCTGTAGAACGTGATCAAGCCTGGATTCCTACACAGAATCTCGTTTAATATCGTATTGCGTGGAAAGTTTTATGTAACGTAAAGGGGAAATCCTGCCAAATCCAGCTCAATCTTCAAGAGCAGTTGTAGCTTAGAATAGCAGATCCCAAAATTTGAGACGGTTTCAAGGCTATAGATAGGGTAGAACCTTAAAATATCATCAGAGACGGGGCATTTCAGTGAGCAGAAATTTCAAAACTTTATGTGTGGAAATCGCCTCCACAATCGAAAACATGGATCTATCAGTGTGTTCAAATTTCGGAAAAGACGACGCCACTACTCCATGCAAATTAATAATTCATGATATGTTTATTCTCAATCTAGTTTTTTTTGAAGACTGTGAACAATTTTAACGCTTCGCGGCCGTTTGGATCGTAGGAAATTTCTAATCATTTGATTTACAACCCCACCGAGTCAGGCAAGGACTCGCCGCTTATAGATCATTTGAAGATTATTGCCTATTCGATGATCGTTTGTTACGTATCGTAAGCATCACAAGTCTCGTGACACTGCACGTGAAATCTAACGCCGAAAAGGTGAGTTATCAATCAGACCCTGGAAGTCAGGAAGGCAGGGGAATCGAGAAAAAACGACCAGAAACTATCTTTTACATGTTTGTTAATGCTGTTTTTGTTTCCTTATTTTTCATATAGAATAACAGCTGTTTGCGAGAAACATCACTGCAATTCAAACCCTTCTATGGCTAATCCAAAATAATTTTTGTTTGTGGATTACAAAGAACAACAGCAGCTTGATTCGCTGACTAATTAATTATTGGTCGTTTTAGCTTAATAGTCGTTATAATTCGTAATGTCAGGGATATGCACCAATAGCAGCACATTAAGACGCACCTGTAAAAACGAACGAGCGAACGTGCTCTTTTGGAGACTCGTGTTTAATCAACCTCAGTGCCTAACGAGAACCGATTGTGAAAACAAACCAATCATGAAAATGTATAATATATCATACTCTCTTCATCACTTTAACAAAGCAATAAATCTTGTATCGTAGGAAAGTGACACATGTGTGTTCATTATGGAAAAAGCGACAAGAAACCTCTAACGAGTTTGCATGCCGTTAAAAACGCGTTTACCAGATGTAACTGATCAAATTATTTAATAAAGTATGTACCCCTAATTAAATTTGAAAGTAAGCAAATGAACCTTGCAAGTAAATGTGACTCAAATAGTCAGATTTAACGCTCAGGAATTGTTGAGAACTAATCGCACAATAAAGGAAGTTGTGACAACCCTGAAGGTTTCGACTTTTTAGAGCAAAAATGGCTCTGAGAGATTTATGGAAACACATAAAGCCATCACGAAGTCATCGAAAGTCCTGGAATTTTTGCAATGGATAAATCTGATATTATAGTTTCTTCATTAATCAAATTGTGACACGTGTTTCTAGTAGGATTCCAACCTGCAATTCTTCGTGTATAAGGTGGACGTGATAACCACTCCACTACAGGAAAGGGGCTTGTAAGCATGGCTTTGCCCGCCAAAAGCATATCGGCGCAATTTAGATTTTATTTCTGGTTACTTTTTCATTCGCTGAGCCGGGTTACAATTTTGACTGACGTAAACTTTAATGCCATTTTGAGAGTGCACGTGTTGTATTATCAGAGAACTCAATTTTAGATTTTGTCTCATTGCTTTTTATTGAATAAAGATTAAACTCACGCATACAACATTTGCAACTGCAGAAGACATGGCCACAGGTAAATGATGGCTTTGTATTGTTATTTTTCCTCGTGAGAAAACAATCATACCGACTGTTGCTGTAACATAATTATATATTCAAATTAGTTATAAACTGCGTCCTCGCCCTATGAATTTCTTTTCGTTATTGAGGTATCAAAGTTCCTCTGTCGTTCATATCACAGATCCCTGTTGCTATTTTAAAACTTGAAACTTTAGGGAAATCGAGAACTTCTTTGACATTGCAAACCGTAGGATGCTTTACAGAATGAAAGATTTGAAGGTGAATCCTGATAGTCGGCTATTATGTAAGTTATAGCGCTATGAGGGAAAAGAGTTTTCATTTGCGGCCACCCAATAAAATGTCGAGAGTTAAGAGAAATCAGCCGCTTATTTTTGCAGATATGACTGGAAGTAGAATCGCATAAGCCTCAACTCAGTTGTAACTGGCTATGTGTAGTTTACTACAAAGTGTGTTTTATTTATGAGAATAAGCGTTAGTTACGAAGAGAGTTTTTCTTCTAAGACAATAAGTGCTGAGTAAATTATAGAGAAACTTCTGGATACCAATTACTATTTCAACAGCTGCACTGAAGCTTCTATAGTTCACAACAACATTTGAATGATAACAATTTATAAAGTGGATTTGAAATTTATTATCTTCACAACGGTAATGAGGCTTCTAGCGTTGACCAGAATATTTAAATGACAACAACTGATAAACTAGATTTTAATTTTAAGGAAAGGTTAAATTCACAGTTTTGTTCAGTCTTTAGTTTTCATTCCTTGAATCAGATGATATATTTCAATGTTTATTCAGACAGATATGGCTGACGTAATTAACACTTGGTTCAGACAAATACTTCTCTTTAACATTTAATTAACGATTACAATATTAATTATTCTGTTATTCCGCGCCCAGAGCATCCTTTCAATTAGCCCGTCCATTGACTATAATTGGAAAGAAAAGAAATATATTTGGAAAGAAAAATATTAAATAAACATCTACGAACTCCTTTTACATTAATTAAAATCTTCCCGAAGCTGTTATAAAGCTGATTATACGCACCTAAGGCAAAGTGTCGACCTAAAAAACAGAACGAAATGAATTTTTATCTGTGTGCTGTTCTAGTTGTGTTATTAATGCCCAAAGTCGTAGCATCTGAAGTATTTCTTTGTAAGGAAGCGTCTCTTTTCTTGTCCTGTGATAACTCATAATCATCGCGTCAAGCTTAAAACATTTCACCTTGCAAGCTTGGCATCCTGTGGTTTGCCATGTCAGAGAGACTCTCGATGCGTTTTAACCAATTTCAGAAAAAGTTTCCAAAACCAAGGGAACCTGCGAGTTAAACGACCGAGGATTCCTCCCTCTTGACGAAGGAAAAGAACTGGAATGTGATAAAGAAGCTATTTACACTCAATTTTGAGTCAAAAAGGTAACAAAAATTTGTCTTATCTAGTTTAGTAATGAGCCACATAAGAAGTGGGCATCTTCAAAAAGTGTGTATCTGTTTATCCACCGGAACGCATCGAAATAAAGGACGGAAAAGCTACGATCTTTGCTTCATCACGAGATGGGGACTAAGCTTACTGATGAATTCTCTTTTGGGCGGTAGTAGAATATCAGAACACGAAAGCCTCTGACCTGAGATTTTATTTTATTCGATTTTATTTGTGACATCTTTCTGGTAGAATAATTATCTTTCCCACGTTAGAAGTACAAATTTACCATCTGTCTTATCTGTCTTGGCAATGTGCCTATCCCTTTATCCTTGTCAAGTTAGACTATGGGTGCAATTTCGGGTTTTCATCAGTCTATTAATAATCGCGTGTGAAGAATAGTTAGCGGCGTTACTGCGAATATTGACTTATAAAACGAATGGGCTATTTTCCAAATTTTCAGTATCTTTGGAGAAATGATACTTGCAAAGTCCTCCAAAGAACAATGCAGTTAAAGTTAATTGAGTTGAGTCTTCTTAAATAATTTTGTGGACTGAAAGAAGCTAACATTCATGATTTGAGCCAAAAATTGAAGTTTTTAGCTTTATGTTAATAATTTAAAGATGAGTCTCTATTTGATGATTAACTAGGATGACTAGTTGATTTCGTCAATACGTATGGAGTCTCCCATCGTCGTGAACATCCCCGAACCATTTCTGGACCTTATGTGCTACCTTTAAAGTCCTCGAATGTGGTTTAAAAAGAAAGAACATTGCGCGGGAAAATACTGCGAGGGTCATTTAAGAAAAAAAAAAAAAAATAAGAAGCTGTCTAACACGTTTAAGATCAGTATTTTCCCAATGAAAACTCATTCATAATTTCAAATGCAGTCTGCGCCTGCGCCAACGATTTTTTTTGGTATTTGGTGGGTCTGAGACGGAGTCGAGATACTTGAGAAAGCTAGAGAATGAGTGGTAGAAATAAGTGAGATCAAACTCTGTTAGTTTATATCTATATTTATATTTGATTGCTTATGAACATGTAGAAAAGCATCAACTTAAGTTCTAGGTTTTTACCGTCATGTCTTTCTTTCTAACAATTATTGGCAATTCTATCGTCATTTACGCCTTTTGGACTGCCCCGAGCATAGTTCCTCCCTGAAGAATTTTCTCTATCAATCTGGCTGTGTCTGATTTGCTGGTTGGTTTGGTCGTCCTGTCCCTCTCTGCAGTCTTTAGGGCAATAATTTTGATCAGATTAAACAATCAGAGTAATGATTATGAGAGTAACCTGGAGTGCGACATCAGCAAGACAGTGGGGTTCTTCGCTCTATTTCTCTCTGGGGTATCCCTCAACTCTATCGCAGTCATAGCTGTGGATAGATATCTTGGGCTCTCACTTCATCTACGTTATCACGCGTTGGTAACCGCAAAGAGAGCACTCATCGTAGTGGCAATTGTCTGGATTTAGTCTTTGCTTATGACTCTGAAATCAACGGTTGTTTTTTTTTTTTTTAAATGATATTGTTAACTCTTCTCTTATAGTATTTAAAATTGCAATTACTAGATGCGTTTACAGTAAGATTTACAAAATAGTGCGTCATCGTTACAGTCAAATCTTCGACCAAGCTGAAATTAAGAATCAAAATAACCAATTGGTGTGATTATCACGCGCGAGTAAGCTGGCCTTTAACGTGCTGAGGCATCTATGACATCATCTCTCCCTTTTTCCGAAAGTGACCTTACCCCCGGTCCTTCATTAGCCTTGGGCATGAGTGTATCAATTTCTATAATTCTGTGTAATTCTTGCATAAATCCATTGGTGTATTGCTGGAAAATTCGTGCGGTTCGCGTGAGAGCCATCAACCTTCTGACGCGTGTACTTCCAGGATGGAATACTCGAAAGCAGATCTAGAAAGAAGAATATTCAAAGTACTTTGATATTTAAACAGGCGAACACACTGCAAAGCGTTAGTTTTAAATAACTGGAAAGAAAAGTTGTAATTGTTAATAGAAAAATGTGAAAGCGCTCGTCATTTAAATGAGTAACATTTGGTGAATCAACGTTTAATCGCTAAATATAGAGTCACCATGAAATTTCAGCACAATGCTCTTAAAAAGTAGACTCAAATTTTCGACTGTTATACTGCCTGTCTTAGTAGAGTATTGAGGCTGAATGATACGCATTACCTACATGGCTAGCTGCTATTGGAATTGATTTATCAATAGATCTAGAGTGGGTGTGGTTGCGCTACAAAATCTAAGAGCCACCTTAACTTAAAGGTGACTTCATCATCGTCCTGATCTTCTTTGTCATCATTGCCTCTAGAATTGGAAAATTTCATAACATTTCAGCTTTCTTTTAATTTCTATTAATGTCATCAATGTCTCTGTGTTAGCATTAGCCTACTAGCTTTCATAAACTATAGAAGCTCATATGAGTGAGGGAACCTGTGAGTTGAACGACAGAGGAGCTCTCCTTACTGAGAAAGGAAACGAACTGGAATACAACGAAAAAGCAATTTACACCCAATTTTACGACACGAAGGTAAAAAAAGTCTCGATAAAAGACAAAGAAGATGTTATTGAATCCTCGAGACACTTGTCTTTCGTTCGTGGTATGTTTCTCATAAAATCTTCATATTTAAACGACAGATGTGAAAACTTTCCATCTGTCATATTTTTCTTTGAATGTTTTTATCGTTTGGTTTTAAAATAGTTTGACGTGTATGCGGGTAAAATGGTGGTTTTTCATCTTTTTTTTTTTTAAGGCGAATAGACTACATTTTATTGAGTGCTGATAATCAAAATGTTCTACGGTCATTCAAAGTAAAATAAGCAGTTTTTCCAGATAAATGGTTAAAATCTCAGTAGCATTGGAGTCAATATCTGCAAACTGCTCCGAAGCTCAATAAAGTTAAATATATTTTAAGTTGAAAGTTCTTAAATAAATTCAGGTGGAGCAAAAGTAGGTCATACGGATTTAGTACACAAAATCTAGTATGAAATTTAGCTTGAAGCCAATACTTTCAAGATGAATCTAAAAGCCTTCAAATAGCTCACTAGTGCAGTCTCCATAGGGTGACGAACCTGGAAGACGTATTGATTACCCGATAAAATGAAAAATGAATGATTTCTTATGTTTTCAGCACAACTGTCAGGCCTTCAAGGAAGATTTAAAAGTTGTCAACTGCAAATGTAAGTAGCGTTGGTTTGAAAGATATTCTTGAGATTAATATCAACGACCTCGTGTTTAAATTACAATGAGTTGCTTGTCCTGGCTGCTTCTTGTCTCTCCGCCAATAGTTACGGAGTCTGCCGTCCTCGCGAACCTTCGCGGACCTTTGCAAACATTCCCGAACCTGCTTGAAAAATTCTGATTCTTACAGCTTCCTTGAAAGTCCTCAAATGCTGTCAAATTGCCAAGGATAATTTTTAACTTGGTTACTGCTAAATCAAAGTGGAAATCATGCCTTAAATTCCCACGAGTGACCAAGACAGAATTTCTCCTTACAATCACCATACAATATCAATCAGATAGGTGATGAAAATAATGAAATAAGTTTGAGTTTTTTTTAGTTGATCCAGCGCCAAATTCTCAGAACTAGCATCATAAGAGTTGTAGGGTAGACAGTAAGGAGAATTACTAATGAGATCTTGGGCACTAAAGGGTTAAGGAAACAAAAACTGCTGAAGAAGCCGAGGACACTCACTGCGTTATTCACAATTTCAAATGCTGGTGTGCCTACAAAATGCATCGCGAAAACATGATAGCGTTGAGTCATCAATATGGGGAGCAATTTGAACATATCCAGGAATTAGACAAAGTAAACTTCAGGAATCCAAAAACCATTGGATACTCTAAAGGTGCCGCAGTAAATTTTAACCGTTTTGGGTACGAATTTTCATTTGTAGTAGAGCTTCGACCATCACTTGTAAGTCGGAGAGATTTTAACTCACGCGAAAATTTTTTATTATAATGCTTGAGATAAAGTGGAAAGGTGAAACTGCACTTACTTTTACATTTCAATTCAAATGTTTTCAAAATCCTCCTTTATTTTCATTCAACCGTTTTTAAAATCATCCTTTACTCCGTGATAAACAAATCAATGTCTGTGCGATTGCATTTGTCTGTCTCAATTTCAGGTGCGGAATCACCAAAAGCCCCAGTTCCCCTCGGCATGGAAAGCGGTGCTATTTTTGACTCACAGATCACCGCTTCCTCCATGTTTAATGATAAACATGCCGCACCGAATGCTAGATTACATTTCAAAGGATCCAAAAACCCGCTTAGACGTGCTGGCTGGGTAGCTGGAGTGAAAAACATTAACCAATGGCTGCAAGTGGATCTTCAGCAAACCACAAGGGTAATAGGCATAGCGACGCAGGGGAGACATGATTACGATCAGTGGGTTACTAAATACAAGCTACAATATGGCGATGATGGACCATTTTTCAGAGTTTACAAGCGAAACGGAGACATATTAGACACGGTATGAAAAAATATGCTTAATTGAACAAACCTTTTTGCGGAGAAAAAATCCCCACGAGGAATAGAACCTTTTTGTATTCTGCATTCTGATTCTCTTCCACTGAGTCACAAAGCAGTTACGCTAGGCTGGGCCATATACTCTCTGTCATTGAACCAACAGAAAAGCATTCACGAAAGTTATAGGTTAAGAGTAGCTCGTATTGTAAAAAAAAAAAAAACTTACGCTCGTTAATTTTACGCCCAAATATATTCTCCTCAGGTTTTCCCAGGAAACAAGGACAGAGACACAGTAGTTTACCACGATCTTAACCCGCTCATTTATCGCTATGAGGATCGAGCTTTATTCTTGTTAAGGTAACCTACTGGTCCAGTTGTGTAGCAATGGGCCGAGATTTTTTGAAAAACGTATTCTGGGAGACGGAAGGTGTGCGTTGGGTAAGGGTAAGGGTAAGCTGTAATGGACTGACATTACATTTAACCCTTTAGCTCCCAAGATCTTCATGCTAATTCTCCCGTCTAGCTGCTACACATTCCTTGCAAATCAGGTGCAAGAATTAGATTTTAGATCAGGATAACAACTTTTACCTGATACGTTTGAATATTCTCATCACCTGTTTGCAAGATATACCTATGGATATTTTAGGAAAAAGTTCCAAGTTAATCACTTCTGGGAGTTAAAGGGTTAAGAGCGCTAGCAGTGCTCAGAAACCAAAGCGAGCCCCGGTTTAAGGCCAGTTGCCCTTTGAGTTTTACACATGTTTGTAATATGTCATCGATAGAGCTCACGCATTTCACATAACATCCCCAACACCTCTTTTTTTTACGAAAACATTATTTGTTTTGATAAAACCAAATTCTCTTTACTTGTTTAAAAGTACAAAAGTCACAACTGAAGGAAAGAATTCACCTTTTCGGCGTTAGATTGCACTTGTAGTGTCACGTGACTTGGGATGTAAACAAACCGCGAAAGTTTAGACTTTGAGTCAACCACCCACGGCTCGAGTCCGAACTTCGGCTTCGGCGTTTTGTCGCAAATAGTTTCCCCTCTGTCGCGCCATAAAATAATAAAAAAACAGTCTATGTACTATGATGTATCTTCTAACGCGCGTTGATCGTTAATCGAAACTGTTTTGCACTTCGCCGACAGATGTTTTTTAATCAAGCATTTTTTATGTTTATTTAAGATAAAGCATTTTTTTTTGTTTACCTAAGATATCATGGGCTGTCAAGATTAGTTCATATACTTGAGTTAGATTAAGAAAGCGGCAGTAAGGAATCCGAGATCAGGTTGAAAGGACTGTGCTTCATTCGAAAAGTGTGTTTTCTGCCTCTGTGCAATGACTGGGAAATATCGCGTCTTAAGCGGGATAGCGCCTTACAGAACTGTGAGTATATCAACATTGTACGTATTCTTGAAAGCTTTTTTGTCGCTTCTGTTTTTGTTATGTCCGACATAGGCAATCCTCACGTGTGTTTTTTGCTTTCAGTTGACTAGCTAACGCGTGTGCAAGAGAAAACTCGCTGAATAAACTAGTTCAAAAAATAATAGAACCCGAGGGCTTTATTTTCCTGGTGAATCTTCAAAACCAGTAGTACCCAAACCCGTGGTGCAAGATAGAAACCACGTCTGATAGGAGATTATTGCCCACGAAACGCTGTAGAACTTGATCAAGCCTGGATTCCCACACAGAATTTCAGTTTCGTTTTATATCGTATTGCATGGAGCAGTTGTAGCTTAGAATAGCAGATCACAACTTTGTGTGTGGGAATCGCCTCCGCAGTCGAAAAAAGAGTTCTATTAATGTGTCCAAATTTCGAAAAAGACGGCACCACTACTTCAGGCAAATCAACAATTCATGATATGTTTATTCTCAATCTAGTTTTTTTGAAGACTGTGAACAATTTTAACGCTTCGTAGCCGTTTGGATTGTAGGATATTTTTAATCATTTGATTTACAACTCCACCGAGTCAGGCATGGACTCGTCGCTTATAAATAATTTGAAGATCATCGCATATTCGATGATCGTTTGTTACGTATCGTAAGCATCAGAAGTCTCGTGACACTACACGTGAAATCTAACGCCGAAAAGGTGAATTATCATTCAGGCCCTGGAAGTCTGACTGTTAAGGCAGGGAAATTGAGAAAAACGACCAGAAACTATCTCTTACATGCATGTTAATGCTGTTTTTGTTTTCTTATTTTTTATATGGAATAACAGCTGTTTGCGTGAGACATCACTGCAATTCAATCCCTTCTATGGCTAATCCAAAATGACTTTTGTTTGTGGATTAGAAAGTGCAACAGCAGCTTGATTCGCTGACTAATTAATTATTGGTCGTTTTAGCTTAATAGTCGTTGTAATTCGTAATGTGAGGGTATGCACCAATGGCAGCACATTAAGACGCACTTGTAAAAAAGAACGAGCGAACGTGCTCTTTTGGAGACTCGTGTTCAATCAACCTCAGTGCCTAACGAGAACCGATTGTGAAAACAAACCAATCTCTCGTGAAAATGTATAATATCTCATACTCTCTTCACCACTTTAACAAAGCTATAAATTTTGTATCGTAGGAAAGAGACACATGTGTGTTCATTAAGGAAAAAGTGACAAGAAACCTCTGACGAATTTGCATGCCTTTAAAACGTATTTACCAGATGTAACTGATAAAATAATTTTAATAAAGTATGTACCCCTAGTTAAATTTGTAAGTAAGCAATTGAAAATTACGAGTAAATGTGACTCAAATAGTCAGATTTAACGCTCAGGAATTGTTGAGAAATAATCGCACAATTAAGAAAGTTGTTACAACCGTGAAGGTTTCGACTTTTTAGAGCAAAAATGGCTATGAGAGATTTATGGAAACACAAAAAACCATCACGAAATCATTGAAAGTCTCGGAATTTTTGCAATGGACGAGTCTGATATTATAGTTCCTTCATTAATCAAATTGTGACGCGTGTTTTTAGCAGGATTCCTACCTGCAAATTGTGACACGTGTTTCTAGTAGGATTCGAACCTGCAATAATTCGTGTTTAAGGCGGACGTGATAACCACTCCATTACAGGAAAGCGGCTTGTAAGCATGGCTTTGTCCGCCAAGAGCATCTCACTCATGGCGGGATATGACGTAGTATTTCAAGGTCAAGAAAAAGCTCTGAAGGCGTTTGCGATATCGGCTCAATTTTGGTTTTATTTCTGGTTACTTTTAAATTCGCTGAGCCGGGTTACAATTTGGACTAACGTAAACTTTAACGTCATTTTGACAGTGCACGTATTGTATTATCGGAGAGCTCAATTTTAAATTTTGTCTCATTGCTGTTTATTGAATAAAGATTAAACTCACGCATACAACATTTGCAACTGCAGAAGACATGGCCACAGGTAAATGATGGCTTTGTATTGTTATTTTACCTCGTGAAAAAACAATCATACCGACTGTTGCTGTTACATGATTTTATATTCAAATTAGTTATAAACTGCGTCCTCGCCCTATGAATTTCTTTTCGTTATTGAGGTATCAAAGTTCCTCTGTCGTTCATATCACAGATTCCTGTTGCTTTTATAAAACTTGAAACTTTAGGGAAATCGAGAACTTCTTTGACATTGCAAACCGTAGGATGCTAAGCTTACAGAATGAAAGATTTGTAGGTGAATCCTGATAGTCGGCTATTATGTAAGTTATAGCGCTATGAGAGAAAAGAGTTTTCATTTGCGGCAACCCAATAAAATGTCGAGAGTTAAGTGAGAGGAGCCGCTTATTTTGCAGAATATGACTGGAAGTAGAATCGCACTTATCCTCAACTCAAGTTTAACTGGCTATGTGTAGTTTACAACAAAGAGTGTTTTATTTATGAGAATAAGTGTTGGTTACAAAGAGAGTTTTTCTTTTAAGACAGTAAGTACTGAATAAATTATGCGAAACTTCTGGATACCAATTACCATTTCAACAACGGCATTGAAGCTTCTATAGTTCACAACAACATTTGAATGATAAAAATTGATAAAGTGGATCTGAAATTTATTATCTTCACAACGGCAATGAGGCTTCTAGAGATGACCAGATTATTTAAATGATAACAACTGATAAACTAGTTTTGAATCTTAAGGAAAGGCAAAATTCACAGTTTTGTATTGTTTTTAGTTTTCAATCCTTGAATAAGATGATATATTCCAGTGTTGATTCAGACAGAAATGGCTGACGTAATTAATACTTGGCACAGACAAATAGTTCTCTTCGACATTTAATCAACGGTTACAATGTTAATTATTCTGTTATTCAGCTCTCAGAGCATCCTTTCAATTAGCCCTTCCATTTGACTATAATTGCAAACAGATAAATGTATTAAAAAAGAAAAATATTAAATAAACGTCTACGAACTCCTTTTACATTAATCAAAATCTTCCCAAAGGTGTTCTAAAGCTGATTATACGCACCTAAGACAAAGTGTCGACCAAAAAAACAAAACGAAATGAATTTTTATCTGTGTACTGTTCTATTTGTGTTATTAATGCCCAAAGTCGTAGCATCTGAAGCATTTCTTTGTAAGGAAGCGTCTCTTTCTTATCCTGTGATAACACAATCATCGCCGCCTTTTTAAGGCGTCACGCTTAAAACATTTCACCTTGCATGCTTGGTATCCTGTGGTTTGCTATATCAGAGAGACCCTCGAAGCGTTTCAACAAATTTCAGAAAAATTTCAAAACCAAGGGAACCTGTAAGTTAAACGATAGGGGAGTCTTCCCTCTTGAGGAAGGAAAAGAATTGGAATGTGACAAAGAAGCTATTTACACTCAATTTTGAGTCAAAAAGGTAACAAAAATTTGTCTTATCTAGTTTAGTTATGATCCACACAAGAAGTGGGCATCTTCAAAATGTGTGTATCTGTTTATCCACCGAAACGCACCTAAATAAAAGACGGAAAAGCTATGATCTTCGCTTTGTCACGAGAAGGGGACTAAGCTTACTGATGGTTCTCTGTTGGGCGGCAGTGTAATATCAGAACAC